CAGAGGATTTTCAAAAGTTCATTTCGCAAAAAATACATAAGTCAGAAGTGAGATTTTTATCCCTAAAAATTGGAAAAACTTCATAGTTTCCCCCAAAGTAAAGTCTCTGAAGAAAATGTAAACTGGAATTTTCAACGCTTTAATAGTCGAGTAAGGAAAGTGCCTTAGAGAAATGAATGCATTTCTCAACAGTTAATTTCGCAAAATCTATCTTAAGCGGACGCAATAATTTTATTCTATGAATTGGACGAAACTTCATTAGTTCAGGTTGGGGAAAGTCGCTATTTGGAGCTTCTCGATTGAATTTTTAATTGTGTTAAATGCGTGAGAATTGAGTAAGATTTTTTTTTACAACACGGGGACGTTTTTCAAGAGTTTGCAAAAACTACATCAGATAGAAATACATTTTTTGTCCTAATGTCTTGAGAAACTTTCGCTGTTTGATCCCGAGGAAAGTTTACGTTGAAAACTGCCAGCTCAAATTTTTAAATGCGTGAGAATTGAGGAAGAAAAGTCTCAAAGAAATACATGATTTTCAAGAGTCTAGTTGGCAAAAATTGCATCAGATAGAATAATTATATTTTATCCACAATCGTAAGAAACCTTGACAGTTTCATCTCAAGGAAAGTTGCTGTTTAAAACTTCCAGCTTGAATTTTTAAATGTGCGAGAACTAAGCAAAGAAAGCGCAAGAAATGGATGGTTTTCAATGGTTTATTTCTCCGAAACTACATCAGATCGAAGTAAGTTTTGTATCCAGATTTCTTCAGAATATTTCTTTCCTGCGTAAAACCTGCAAATCGAGCTTTTAAATACGTGAGAACTCAGAACAAAATTCTCAAGCAAATGGATGCTTTTGAGCAGTAGACTTCATAAAAACTACACTAGGAAGAAGTAAATTTTTCATTCACAAATCTTGCGAAAACTTCACTGTTTTATCCCGAAGAAAGTTGATGTTTCAAACTTCCAGCTCGAAATTTTAAATGCGTGAGAATTAAGTAAAGAAAGGCTGAAACGAATGGATAGAAGTAGATTTTTTACCTTCAAATCTTGAAAAAACTTCACTATTTCCTCCCAAGATGTAAGCAACTGTTTAAAAGTTCCAGCTCAAATTTTACTGTGCATGAGAATTGAGCCGGAAAAGTGTCTTAGACACATGAATGATTGTTTAAAAAATATATTACTCGCAAATTGCAGCAGACAAAAGCAAGAGTTTTATCAAAAAACTTGTAGAAACTAAGAGTGTCTTATTCTGCAAAATCTACATCGGACAGAAGCGACAGTTTAATTCAAAAATTTCCGGAAAACTTCAAGGTTTAAGGTCGGGAAAAATTGCTGTTTGATTCCAGCTGAAATTCTCAAATATTTTGATGCCAACATAACAAATTAAGTGGATTTTTGCGTCAAAACTCGGTTGGAGTTGACAACAATTGAAACAATGGTCCCCAATTTGTTGTTAATTAAATGTGAAGTAACAAAACATTGAAATGGGTTTGTTTAAGCGCGAAGCCCGAAAAATCCGACTGGCGCCCTTAATTAAAAGCTTAATTCTTTTGAAAACGTTCCGTGAAGCGAACCGAATGTAAACTGTGTTCAGTTTCTCTCTTTGCGAATTTAATGACCGCCACTTGAGTTATTTCCAACAGAAAAACGCATTTTTACAGTTGTAAACTCTCGTTCACTTCGGCTGGCCAGTTTTTGATCCATTGAAACATTTTCGAACGCCGATTTATACGAGCAAGGACCATTCAACAAATGCTTGTTATTGTTGTTCTTGTTTTTTATCTTTTTCATCCGACCGAGTCCGTATTTTCGAGTTGGGCTTTTTGTTTAATTAAGTCTCAATAACAGAGCACTCGACAGTAATGCATTTGCCAAACACCATTCCCTAGTCTAATGTTTGCATTCCAATTATTGTCAATACAAGTTATTCTTAATATAAAAGAGCTGTTTAATTTTAATTATATTTGTCGTTGTGAAACTGTTACTTAGAATAAGTAACATTTGCTAAGATAATGGCTAGGCAAATACGAGTCACTTAAGATTCTTTGTTTGATGTACTAATATTGCCGCGGCGCAATAGATATCTGCTGTCTTGTAGCTTCACGACGATTTCTTGTTTAAGAACGAGAAATTGTCCTCATCACATCGTTATATAAGTGGCAGGAATTAAAGGCAATGTCGAAAAAACTCCTGAAAAATTAGCAAAAGCTTCATAGAGGCATTAGACGCCTTCTATTCTAGTAATTACTTTCATAGAAGGGACATTTGTTCTCTAAATATTGGGCAAAGACTAAAAGGTTTTCGACGATCGGCATGAGTCTTGTATTGCAGCGTCTTGCTTGCAAACTTGAAACGTTTCTAAATTGAAGTATTACATAAAAAATGCTTACAAATAGAGCGCGGCAGCTCAATTGGCTTTCTAAAACTGAGCCAACTCCTAAGTGAGATTTTCAAAAACCTCATTAATTTCATATTTTTGTATTTCGTTTGAAAACCAAAAGCACTTCCAAATTTATGGTTAATCTCGAAAAAGGCGCTTCTCAAAGCTCGATTTCACAATGGCAAATAGAGCCTTTCAAGCTAATTTGTTCCATAAACATGAGCCGAAGAATAAGACGATTTTCATAGTCATCATTAATGTTGTATTTTTGTTTATGCTCGAAAAATAGAGATATTTTTAAATGGATGTTTTATATGCTAAAGTGCGCATTTGAAGGTTCTATTTTGCCCTGACAAATAGAGTCTCGTAGCTCCATCGGTTCTCTAAATATGAGCTGGCAGTTAAAAACTAAAAAAGTTTTTCAGGATCCGCAATATTGTTGCATTTTAGCTTCTTGTGCGAAAACAAGAAACATTCCTAAATTAATATTTCATATAAAAAAATAATTCATCTCAAATCTCTATTCAAAAATAGCAAATAGAGCTCTGTGGGTCAATCGTTCTGTAAATATGAGCTAAAAGCTGGAAGCGCTTTCCAAGATTCCTTATTATTGTAGATTAGCTTTTTGTATTAAAACTAGAAACATTTCTATATTGATGTTTCGTATAAAAAATAACGCATTTTAAAGCTTCATTCGGCAATAGCAAAGAGAGCTTTATGGCTCTATCGGTTCTGTAAATATGAACTAAAACTAGAAGCGGTTTTCAAGATTCGCATTATTCTTACAGTTTAACTTTTTGTTCGAAAACTAGAAACATTCCTAAATTGATGACTCCTATAAAAAAATTATTAGTTTAAAAGCTCTATCCAGAATTAGCAAATAGAGCTCTTCATCTCAATCGGTTCCGAAAATATGAGCTAAATTCTAAGAGGGGGTTTCGAAATTCGTATTAATCTTGCATATTAGTTTTTGCTCAAAAATGAGCTGCATTCCTACATTGATGTTTTATGATGTCATACGAAAAATTGCACCATTTCAAGCTCTATTCCGTAATAGCAAACAGAGTCCCAAAGTTCAACCAGTTCCCTAAATATAGGCAAAGGCTAAGAGCGGTCTTTAAGATTTTGCATTAATGTTACGTTTCCGAATTTTGATTCAACAGTTCAGAAACATTTGTAAATTGATGTTTTATATAAAAATGAGCAATTTCAACAACGAAAGGCAACGAGAAATTAGCACCAGAGGCGTCCGATTGGGATAAAAAACTTCACATTTGCATACATTTTGCTAACAATCAAAGATTTAAAAAAGCAGCTATACATAACTTCTGTGCCGACCAGAGTTTGGATATAAATCAGTAACATGTTCTTTCAAAAAGCAAGTTTAAAGGGAAAAATCACGGGGAAATCGTCGCTATGTTTCAACCAACTTTAGATTCGATTTCTCATGACCAAAAAGCCACTGTTTGACTAGTTTCTCGAAACATTGAGAAAAAAATTGAAATCGAACACCAGTGCGTATTGCACAAATAAGCTAAACTTGACTAAATCACATTCGGCGTATAATGCAAGCAATTTTCTTCATATTTTCTTAGCCCAGCCCAGTTATTACAAGTATAGTAGGCTCATTTCGTCCCTGCTCCATGTAACTGCCGTAAAAATGTCAGGCCTATAAGCGCTAAATCGCCGGTTATAAACGGGATTTTTGCAGGGTGTTTTCTGCCAAATTTGCTGTTTTAGCATCAACTCATGCCAATCACGTCTAACGGTGTCCAAACTGTATGCTTTAATTTTTTTGCAGAAAAACAGAATATTTATAATAAGTTGAGAAGAAAACTCTACATCCGTGTCGACAACTCTCTAATCCAACCAGTTCGAAGACGAAGTAAGTCATTGAATGTTTGAAGGCTTCGTATTTGGTAAATAAAGGATTACTGTTTGAATAAAACAGCTTACTAATGGTGTTGTTCTAAGGAGATATTGTTGACTTTTCCTTTCTTTGGCCGTTAGAGTTCTGCGTGCTTGTTTTAAACTAATTTACTGATTCGTTTTCAATTATGTGGCAAATGCCCGTTTTATTCGTTTTTCGAGTACGTTCTTCACTACGTACTGCGAAGGTTGCACTCGTTGACTTATGCAAAATAAGCAAAGCCTTGATTGCCTTCTTGCGACTCTAACCAGTTGATTTGTCTGTATTTGCATTTTACTTTAAAAAAATTAACACACTGAATTCATCGCTTAGCCACGTTCTTCGATCGATTGAGTTTTGCGGAAAGGACTGAAGACATTTGATCTTCCCTTGATTGTATTGGCGCATCAAATTGACCTGTTCCTGACACCTCGACGCTGCGAAATTCACTTTTTTTCCCGAACAAAGTCACATAAACGCAAACTCGTTAAACGAAAATGCGACCGAACGGTATGTATAAAAAGGCCAGGGGGGAAGGAAACACGAGTGCTTCTCATCCCACAAAATTCTTTATTTCCCCGAGTTGGAATTGTGACACCGCAGCGGCTTTATATTATTAAAGTGCGATATAAAGACCGCATAGAAAAAAATTGCGTCTGCCCTTATCTGGATAGATAACGTTCTTCAGTCAAATGCTCAATCCACTTACTTGGGCTGGAAGGATTGGAGGAATCCGAAGAAATAAACGACGTCTTCTGATGGTGGATGAACGTTGTTGGGGCGCCGCCCATTTCCAAAGGGGCGGCTGATTCTGGCGGCGTCAAAGACGGCATGTTGGAGTCGTTGATTGTGGGGGCGGGCGTTGGGAAGATAATCCCCAGTTCGCGTGCTTCATTTTCTTCTTGAGCTTGTTGTCTTCTGAGCGCCACCTGAGCCGCCATCACTCTTTGCCGTTCGGCTATCAACGTGCATTTTGCGCAGTTGCAGTCTCTCCATCTACAGTATCTGCAATAATACGAAAGAAACCCCAATAAAAACATTGCATCCTGTGTAAAATTCAAGCATTAAGCCGCTCAATGGTTCCCTTTATCTGTTATGATATTTCGTGGTCGATAAGATCGAAACGATAAATATAAGGGCGTCCGTCTTCAGTCCCTGCACCCTTTTTCATCGTCTAATTCTATGCGATTTATAGCCCCCGGTTTGTCAGCGAATTAGTTATCTGATGGTGGATTGAATAGGATTGCTATTAACCTACTGGGAATGAATAATTGGTCAATGGGACCAGTGGGACGCTCGATTGTGAATTATGCACCGTATTATGCAATGGCATTCATTAAAAAAGTCTGTGTTCAAGAAATCTGTGGGACAATCGAGGAAACACAGATCTGAATTTAGAAGGTTGCGTTAATGAAAAAAATAAGTTTTAATGAAGAAGACATGAGATCAGAGTCGGAAATAGGACAGAAAGCGCAATGGAGCTTCAATGAGTGGGCCTTCTTTAAGAGTACCCAGTCCAGTACATTTTTGATCAGAAGTTCGTGTGTTAATGGAGAAAACTTGAGCTTACAATTGAAGCCACATCCAAAAACCAAGTTTTACCTGACAATCGGAACTTAAATATGAAGTGCCCATCCAAAAATGAACACTCTGTAGTGCGGAAATAGGTAACACGGGAATATTTGGCTAATACCACAAGTAATTTTAGAAATACTGTCTCTGGTCAGCCAAATACTACTGGCATAGTAGGCCCATTTGCTCACCGCCTCTTGCAATTGGGGCAAAAACAGCAGGCCTATAGGCGATAAATCGCCGGTTATAAACGGAATCCCCGAGGAGGTTTTTTTGCCAAATTTGCGCTTTAACAACGGGAACCGCGCTAGTGTCCTCTAATTATGTCAATAGAGTGCAAAATATTTTATTTGCCTTAAAATTCAGTTTGAAATGCCGAATTTCAGTATTCTTCGAGTGTTGGGAGGCGACAAGTTTCACGGCTTGAGCTTGCAGTCCAAGTAACAGTGAGTAATTTTTATTTAATTAAAAAGCGTGACTTTTCAATTACAGGAAGTTAAAGAATTAATTTAGAGAACAAAACGGATTGAAATTGCTGAACTGCCGGTAATGTTTTATGAACAATGCACCTCTAACTAATTATTTCTAACCAAACTGGGAATTTTTTCAACTGGACTTTAAGTGGAAAAGTGCGAATTTTTGCTTTCTATCCGCTAAAATTTTATGGGGCTTTCTAGCTCCATTAGTTTTCCAACTATCCGATAAAGCTCAAGAGGGTTGCCGAAAAAAATACCAGGCTTTTAACAAACTTTTATTTTTGAAAAACCGCAAACGCTTCCAGTTTTATTGTTTTAAAAAGAAAAGTGCGGAAAAGTGCGGTATTCACTCTTTCATCTATTGGTGTCTAATGATGCTTTGCAGATCTAACACAATTTTAACCACCCGATAAAGCTGGACGAGGTTTCAAAAAAATCCACCAAGCTTTTAAGAATTGCTTTTTATGAAAAGCTGCATGCGATTTTAATTTTATACGTTAAGTGGAAAAGTGCACATTTTACTCTTCAATCTGATAGTGCCTAATCAAGCTTTCTACCTCTACCAGTTTTTTTACTATCCGATAAAGCTCCAGGGGGTTTCGTAAAAAATGATCAAGCTTTTAAATAGCTATTTTTTACAAAAGTGTATGCAATTCTAGTTCGATTTTTTACGTGTAAAAGTGCGCATTTTACTCTTCAGTCTGCTGGTGCCTAGTGAAGCTTTTTAGCTCTAGCAATTTTTTAAGGATCCGTTGGAAAGTTAACGAGACTTCAGGCAAGTTAGGCATGTTTTTTTTTTAACATTCTGTACGCTCTCCTAATTTGATTTTTTAAATTTAATCGTGCGTATTTCACTCTTCCATCTAAAATAGAGACGCACTTAATTTGTTGAAAGCGTTCAAAGTCTTCAAGCTTTTATACGGCAAGAATTGTTGATTTTTCATTTTAAATGAAGATTAATGGATCAGACATCGAGCCAAGTTTTTTGTTATTTTTTCAGTGTGTGTCTGTGCGTGTTGGGGTTTTGCTTAAAACTAAAATGTAGACAATCCTTCTAAAGTACTCTTTTCTCTCGTCTTTATTTCAATTTTAGCCAATGTTTTGTTTTAAAAACGGTCTCGTAGCTTTTAGCGGCTCGAACAGCTTCTAGTCAATTTTACGCCCAAGGTAACAGAAAACTCGACACAATGTGCCATTATTTTGCTCCATTATTTCTAATGGAGAATGGAGACTTAATATTTTTTAAACCGGAGATAATAGCCAAAGAATTAAGCCACAAATGGCAAAAAACTTCATTAAAATCCGTAGTTTAGTGCAAAAGTTGGAGGAATTTCAACGTTACCAAAAAATTTAGTGAGACACTTTCTTACGAAAACTGAGAACAAAACTTGACCCGGTGCTTTCTTCATATTTTTTTTATGGAAGTTAACGAATCGATGGTTCTGACGTTTGAAATAAAAGCCAAATAATTAAGCTGTAAACTGCAAAAAAATAAAGTTTTTTTGTTCCTATGGAAGTTCGATTTGCGTGACTTTTATATGGCCATTAATTATAGCGGCCTTTTGATGGATTTTTCAGCAATTTTCGGCTGTTGCCCTGCCAGTAATAAAACAAATATGAGAAAAAAAGGCAGAGTCTGGTTCACGCGATCCAGAGCCCCTTGTGAGAAGAAGGCATATGAATTTATCTAAAACATCAGCAATTTTTAGCGTTGCGGTGAAAACCGGACAGTCATGTCCAGGTTGTAACACTGAACCATTTTGGCAAAATCCTTTTGCAGACCGGTTAAAATATAGACATTTTACTGGTGAATTAGCTGATAATGTAACGCATTTGTTTCCTACCTTTTATGTCCTTTGAGGGCGGAAACAACCCCATGATTTCGACACCGAGCGCACTTTGGAGTCCTTTGATATCGTTCGGAGGTGCGAAAAAAGAGAGCCGGCGGAATGCCCCCCAAAACCGGATGTTGCGACATGATCGCCTGCATGTCCACACCACTATTCGGTAAGCTCATTTTTCGCCGACGATAAACAAGCGAAAAACAGCAACTAGAAAATCATGGACGCGCGTAAAATAGCCGAAAAATCCGTCTCAGAATTGGCAGTTAAGCAGCAACTGACACTCCTCAAACCTTAAAGTTAATAGGTATCCGGTGGTCGTTACAGTGCTGAAACTGTTGGCTGTCACCGCTTGGTTACAAGCACCAATCGCGGCAGGCGCTTTGCCAGACTCCACCCACTTTACGTGACGTTCAGCTGCAGGCCACGCCTAACACCCCACAATCTGGTGTTTACTGTATTATGTGCCGTCGCACAATGAGTGGTTGAATAGGAATACAAACTAGTTTTCAATGGCAAATATATTATATTCTGATAGCATAATGGACCCTTAAGAACAGGGAGAAATATAAATGTATAGAAGTTGCGGCGATATGGTGTTGTTGAAATCGTGAAGAGACTCCTCGAATTTTGGGGGAGTTTGTATTCTATTCTAACATATTAATCTCGCGCTCGTTACGAGTGAGGTCAAGCGTTTTTCATTTCAAAAGTGGAAAACTTTAACTGCTTTATTGATTTACATTCCCATCAGGCCTCAATCGGCATTTACATGTTGGATTGTTATTACCTATGTCTCGAACATTTGCTGTTTTCGTTCAGTATTACTTTTTCAGTTTTGCGCATTTCGTTCTCAAGTATGACTAAATGTAATGCATTGGTTTGTGGCAGCTGCAGGCCATCCTTTCAAGTCCCATCATCCACAGGGTGGACAGAAATCAGAATCTGTCACGATTTGAGTGAAAATTTCAGGGTTTTATGCGTGTTGTGTCTTCTATTGAATGTGTGAATTTAGAGATGCTTGCTCCTCTGGATTCGAAGTTACGAATTTTTACGTAAGGGTGTGCAGTTGGGCAAGCATGTTAATTTGGTTTATCTTGTACGGAAATGTTCATTTTCAGCCCATCATTCACAGGGTGGGTAAAATCAGAATCGCTCTTTTGAGCGTTTTCAGCATTAAGTGTCGTCTATAAGGCGTATGAATTTAGAGTTCCTAGCTCCTTTGGATTAGAAGTTACGAATTTTTAAAAGAGGGCRTGCAGTTGGGCAAGCATATTCATTTTTAGTTCCTTACACACAAGATTGCCCAAAGTCAGGATTTTTTATGATTTGCTCGAAAATTTGAGAGTTTGCTGTTCCAGATATTCTTTGTAGAATGTGCTAATAATTTTGAGTGGCTACTTGCTCTTGATCGGAAGTTATGAGTCTTAACCTAAGCGCATGTAAATGCGACAAGAAGTTAATTTGCGGGCCATCATTCAAAGGGTGGGCAAAAATCAGAATCAGGAGCGATTTAAGCAAAATTTTCAAAGCTTTCAGCAGCAAGTCTCGCATACAAGGTTTATGCATTTAAAGTTGCTACCTTTCCTGTGTTGGAAGTTACRAATTTTTAAAAGAGGGCGTACAGTTGGGCAGGCATGTTTATTTTTGGTTCTTTATACACAAGATTGYTCAGTCAGGATTTTTTATGATTTGCTMGAAAATTKGATGGTTTGCTGTTCCATATATTCTTTGTAGAATATGCTAATAATTTTGAGTGGCCACTCGCCCGCGATCGGAAGTTATGAATCTTAACCTAAGCGCATGTAAATGCGCCAACACGTTAACTTTCGGGCCATCATTCAAAGGGTGGGCAAAATCAGAATCAGGAGCGATTTAAGCAAAATTTTCAAAGCTTTCAGCAGCAAGTCTAGCATACAAGGTGTATGAATTTAAAGTTGCTACCTTTCCTGTGTTGGAAGTTACGAATTTTTAAAAGAGGRCGTGCAGTTGAGCAAGCATATTCACTTTTGGTTCCTTACACACAAGATTGCCTAAAGTCAGCATTTTTTATGATTTGCTCGAAAATTGGAGGGTTTGCTGTTCTACGTGTTCTTTGTGGAATATGCTCATAATTTTTAGTGGCTACTTGCTCTCGATCGGAAGTTATGAATTTTTTCCTAAGCGCACCTAAATGCGCCAACAAGTTAATTTTCGGGCCATCATTCAAAGGGTGGGCAAAAATCAGAATCAGGAGCGATTTAAGCAAAATTTTCAAAGCTTTCGGCAGCAAGTCTCGTATACAAGGTTTATTAATTTAAAGTTGCTACCTTTCCTGTGTTGGAAGTTACGAATTTTTAAAAGAGAGCGTGCAGATGGTCAAGCATGTAAATTTTTGKTTTTTTATACACAAGATTGCCCAAAGGCAGTATTTTTTATGATTWGCTCGAAAATTGGAGAGTTTGCTGTTCCAGATATTCTTTGTAGAATATGCTAATAATTTTGAGTGGCTACTTGCTCTCGATCGGAAGTTATGATTCTTAACCTAAGCGCATGTAGATGCGACAACCTGTTAATTTTCAGGCCATCATTCATAGGGTGGGAAAAAATCAGAATTAGGAGCGATTTAAGCAAAATTTTCAGAGATTTCACCAGCAAGCCTCGTATACAAGGTGTATGAATTTAAAGTTGCTACCTTTCCTGTGTTGGAAGTTACGAATTTTTAAAAGAGGTCGTGCAGATGGTCAAGCATGTAAATTTTTGGTTTTTTATACACAAGATTGCCCAAAGGCAGGATTTTTTATGATTTGCTCGAAAATTGGACGGTTTGCTGTTCCAGATATTCTTTGCAGAATATGCAAATAATTKTGAGTGGCTACTCGCTMTCGATGGRAAGTTATGAATTTTTACCTAACAAGTTMATTTTTTACCCATCATTCACAGGGTGGGCAAAAATCAGGACCTTCCGCTATTCGAGTGAATTTTTTTCAGTTCTATGCCCCAAGTTTGTTGTATCGGCTGAGTTAATTTCAAGTTGCTGCCTGCTCTCGGCTGGAATTCACAAATTTTTAAAAGAGATTGTGCAGATGGGCGAACAAGTTCAATTTCGCGTGCAAATTCCGAAGCCAAAATCGAATCAAAATCTTGATATCTTAAAAATATGAAGTTTTTAAAAATATTGCCAGCAATTACTAGTATCGTAGGCTCATTTGTTTACTAGTCAATGCAATTCTAGTGAAACTGGCAGGCCTATAAGTGATAAATCGCCAGTTATACACCTGACCCACGCAAGGCGTTTTTTGGAAAATTTTATTTTTCACCATCGAAGCTATTGGCGTGCAATTGGGTAAGCATAATTTAAAACAGCGCTATTTTCCACAGGGTGTTTAGTAATTTGTTGCATTCGTTAAAAAAGCTTCTGGTCCGAGCGATTTCGGATAAAACTGTTTATTTAACTCGACATTTAATTGAAATAGGAAAAACTCTGTTTACATCTTGTTGGTTTAGCTGGCTCCATTTTGGATAAAATTCGAACTGAAGCAGTCGCGATCCATTGAGAAACGGCGCCTTATTGAAATTCGACAGAACATTTCGATTAACCGATGACTTTTTACAAAGTATTTTAATTAATTTTCCCCGCTTCTTCGGTATTTCTTTTCGGGCTTTACAGTGCAAGTGACACCTCTGGATAAGAGAAATTGAAATCTCATCTGCACAGTTTTCGGATCTCGCTGAACAATGACGGCTGGAATCTGTTCTTATAAACATTTTTTTTCTTCGTTTGTCGATTTCATCCATTCCTGTTTTATCCAAAACAGGATGCCATTCAAACTTCCAGTCGGCGTCGTAAATTGAAAATTTTTAAGTTAAGATGTCGGTCATTGTTTAAGTGGATAAGTATTCCAACTGTTGTACATTATTTCGTCTTTGAGTGAATTTGGGTCGACATAGGAGGTCGTGTTATCGAGCAAACCGATTAAGGAATTGCTGAAAATGTCGCCTTGCAAACGCAATAAAGGCCGGTATGCGAAATGTTATATGTAGAATAAAAGAAGGGGATAATGAATTCAACAATGAAGCTGAATGTCGCACCCTCCGGAATTTAATTAAATACGGATTACCGAACCCGGAATAATAAAACACAGATATACCGGTATGTTCTTATTTGAATTCGGACAAGTTCATCATTTTCGCTTGATTACTTTATCTCGGCCCCAAATCGGGAAATTAATTCCTTTAGAAACCCGAACACTCTGTATCAGGGCCACTAAGTTGATTAGTAAGGAAGTTTCTAGGCTCCAAGTAAAAGCCTAAAACGCAAGTTTATTTAATTCTGAATTTTAAAAACCGCTCTAGTTTTTGGCTTATATTTAGAGAACCGGGTGAGGTACAAAACTCTGTTTATCATTCCCAAATAGAGAAGAATATAGCCTTAAAATACTCACTTTTTTTTTAATTTGAAACATAGATTGGCAATTTTTTCTAGTTTTCAAGCAAAAAGCTTTAATGCGAATCTTGAAAATCGCTCCTAGTTTTTAGGTTATATTTACAAAACCAATAGAGCCACAAAGCTCTATTTGATACCGCTGGATAGRGCTTTAAAACACATACTCTTTTTTTATAARACAAACATTAAWTTAGGAATATTTCCAGTTTTCGCACTAAAAGCGAAAATGCAAGAGTTTGGCTTTTAGTTAGAGAGCCGGTTGAGGTACAAGATTTTGCTTATGATTTTCGTGAAGAGCTTTAAAATGCGCATTTTATTTTGTGTGAAAGATTGATAGCGGAACTTTTATAATTTTCGAGCAAAACGCTAAAATGCAAGACAGCGGATTTTTATATAACCGCTCCTAGTCTTTGGCTCATATTTAGAGAWCAAATTGAGCTATGAGACTCTATTTGTCATTTCGCAATMGAGCTTTAAAATATAATTTTTGTTYRTRAAAAMCATCGAYTGGGSAATTTTGATAGTTTTCGAGCAAAAGCTAAAATGCAAGGTTAGTGCTGATAAAAACCGTCCTTAGCTTTTGGCTAATATTAAGAGAAGAGAACTAATATTAATAGTTGAGCTACAAAATTATRTTTATCATTTCCAAATAGAGCTTTAAAATGGCCACGATTTTCTTCTTTTCTTGATTCTTGAATAAAAAGCGAAAATGTATGATTAATGTGTATTTTGAAACCCGCGCTTAGTTTATGCTCATTTTTAGARAACTGATTGAGCGAGGAGTCTCTCTTTGTAATTTCGGAATMGACCTTTAAAGTTCGAAGTTTTTTTGAAAATAAACCCCTGATTTAGGARMTTTTATAGATTTTG